ATAAGGAAAAAGAAGCACAGAGATTGAGTAAATTGGCCAAGACCACAAAGCTATTAAGCAGTAGAGGTAGAGGTGAGCTTTCAACCAGAGGCAATGAGTCCAGTGTCTGCACCAAACTACTGTATCGACAAGTCATCAAAACTAAGTTTGCTAGAGAACAAAATTAAAACATACTTTAGAGGCACTGAGTCTGTGTGTAATTTCTCCAGCAACACCCACAAATTGATATTCGGGGGTCCTTTCCACCCCTGCTTTCTCAGGTGATGTGGTATTCTTCCTCCCTCCAAGTCTAGTCCTTCTTTATGAGGTCTGCTTCTCCCTCTCCCGACCCCCTCAACTTCCCTGAGAACTGCATCCATTTCTATTTCATCAGCTTTATTCTGTCCTCCTGCTCTCAGCATAGAAACACTTTCATCTGTCCTGTCTTAGAAGTTGCTCTTTCATCTTCATTTCCCCACCTCTAGCCTTATTGCTCCCTCTCCCTTTCCTTCCAGTTAAGTTTCTTGCAAAGATCCTTTAGCGATCGCTTCCTCCATTTTCTCTTCTTCTATTCATTCTTCAAACTACTACTTACCTGAAGTAGATTTCCTGAGGTCTTCAAGGACATTTGAATTTCCTTTTCTAAGATATTTGACAACTTCTTTATTGAAAGTCCCTCCTGTGGTTTCCTTGGCATCTTTCTCCTCTAATTTTCCTCTTTTTTGGATAGTACTAGCTTCAGAATTTTGTTTGCCATTAGTTCGTTTTTCTTCACCATCCTTTAAATGTAGATGTTTAAATTCTCTTTTTCGCCTTCTTTCTAGGCCATTTCTTTCCTTCTCATGGCTTGAACTATTACCGCTAAGCCAATGGCCCCAAAATATTTATCTACAGCTCACATATCTGTGCTGAGTTCCAATAAAGCATATCCATGTGTCTACTAAATATTTCTGCCTGGATGTCTCACAGACACTTCAATCTCAATTCAAGCTTTGTCCTAAACATGTCCTAAACATCACTTCCCTGTCCAAATTTGTTCCTCTCCCAGTTGTTCCTAGTTGCCATAGGATTTCCTTTATATTTGTATCCTTATTTTTAGTGTAGAGCCTGGCACAAAGAAATATCTCAATAGATGTTTGGTGAAAGAATAAGTAAGTTAGAGGGGGCACATATTTGTATGTGTAATATCACTTAGGAACCCTTTGGCTAAGTGTTACAGAATAGTTATAGAAATAGGCTATCTTAAATAAAAATGAAATTTATTAGAAGAACATAAGAGACTCACGGAATTTGCAGGAGACTGGAATAGGCTTGGAAAAAGAGCGGGAACCAAGACACTCTCTGAAGACCAAGAAATAGGAAGCACACCTGTTTTTCAGCAGAACCATCCAGGCAGGAAACACCTGTCATAAATAAATTCTGACCATTCTTTCATCTTTGCCTCTTTTGATCAAGAGCTGAAGTCCTTGGAGGCTGCACCTTGTGCCTAAGCTTAGGTCATATGAGCTCACTTACCTTGGTTGCTCAGGGCCTGATTTTCCACCAAGACTATACCCAAAGGAAAATGTCCCCAGAATGAGGAGAAGGGTTCAATGATGAATAATCAAATTAATATGACACGGCCCTTTTATTATCCCCATTTTTTTAGGTAGGAAACTAAAGCTCAGAGAGCTCAAGTTATTGGCAAAAGCCATACAGCTAGTAGGTAGCAGACCTGAGATTCATTCCTAGTGTGCTGGAAGTTCTGCTCTTACCTACTCAGCACATGGCCTTCTAAACCTACCCTTGTCTGAATGTGTAATTAATTCACTTTCCAGACATAGTCGTAGGCAGTGTATTGTGTTGCTTCACCTCCATACCCTCTTTTCCTTTTCTTCTCTCCTCTAAGACTTGTTTCCATCTTTGTCTTCCCCCAGCAAGCCTCTGGAGATTGTCATGGAATTTCCCCTTCTCTGAATTTTCTGAGCATTTACAACTTGAGCCTTCCTAAACTTGTCCTTGATAATTCGCTGATATTTAAAGTATTTAATTGTATATCTAACTATGTATCACTTTGTTACAATATAATCTTTTTTTTTTTTTTTTTTGACCTACAGCAGTCACCCATTTAGTGACTGGGAGGAAAATAATGGTTATTTCTACTAGAGACATTTATTACAGAAGTTAATTGTTGCAAATTAATTCACACCATATATTAGTTGACTGCTTCCAGAACTGGATATTCAATATTTGCTCAACAAAAGTTTCTTAAAAAGAAATCATGTATGGAAAAGGGTTCTTTCATCTGGACAGGAGGCTTCTACCTGGTATTCAGGAACTATTGGAGTTCACCTCAGCAGTCCTCGGCTCTGTCTCCTGTTTCAACAGTACTTGGACAGAGCAGACCCAGGGATGCCCCTTCTTCCAGTCTCTGATCACCCTCTAACCTCATTTCCAGTCTCTTGGAACCGTCTCAGCCATCCTGGCTCCCGAGACCAGCCACACCGTTTTTTGAGCTTAACTCCTTATTGCCGAGCAACTATGAGCCCCTAAATCCATCAGAATTATTCCACCCAGGTGGAGGCCACCGTCAACTGCCCAGTAACTTCCATCTGCAGGCCTCCTACACCTCTCTCTAGGTTTCTATTTTGACTACAACGATATGGCTCTAGAAGGCGTTGGTCATTTCATCTGTGAGTTAGCCGCGAAGAAATGCGAGAGCGCCCAGCATCATTTAAAGAAGCAAAACCAGTATGGCGGCCGCGCCCTCTTCCGGAACCTGCAAAAACCTTCCCAGGATGAGTAGGGTAAAACTCAGGATGCTATAAAAACTGCCATGCTCATGGAAAAGAACCTAAACCAGGCCCTTTTGGATCTGCATGCCCTGGGTTCTGCCCGCACAGACCCCCATCTCTGTGACTTTCTGGAAAGGCACTTCTTAATGAGGAGGTAAAACTCATCAGGAAGATGGGCAACCACCTGACTAACCTCCGCCGGCTGGCCACCCCCTAGCCTGTGCTGGGTTAGTATCTCTTGGAAAGGTTCACCCTCAAGCAGGACTAGAAACCTTTGTAGAGCTCCTAAAGGCTTTGTAGAGCCTTTGAGAGGCCCTTCTGCATCTGCCTGGTGTTGGGCTTCTGTCAGAGCCTTTCCTTGCAACCACTAGGCACACTTCTAACCACCCTGGACCCCTCTCCTATGCAGTGGACCAAATTGAAACAATAAAGCTTTTTGCAGGCGCCCCACCCCCGCACCCCCAAAAGCACCTTCCTTCCTCTTTCCCCTTCTCACATTTTTTTATATTCAATTAAGTAAACTTTTTACTAGTAATCTCGTTGTACACTACTTGCAAATAGACAAGAAAAATAAAAATCTTCCAAGCAAGAGCCTAATCTTTTAGTTCATTAAGATCGCTTTCCTGATAGATCTGGGTTCAAACTCTTCTTCACCTCTTAACTCTAGAACCTTAGGCAAGCTGTTTAGTCACTGAATCTTTGCTTTGTTATCTGTAAAGTACCTACTTCAAAAAGTCATTGTAAGGATTGAATGACACCCCCACAATGTCCAGTATATATATTTTTTAATATTTCACTTTGCATATGAGAAAAGATTCAGAAAGGTTACTTGCCAAGTTAACACAGCCTTACATGGTGATCTGCTCAGAGTAGGCACACAATGCATATTTGTTGGACAAATAAGCTTGTTTCCAATTTTTCACTTACAAAGTTGCAATAAACTGCTTGGAAAATATATCTTTCCAAATTCTTCCAGTGTTTCTAAAGGACACACTTATTTCTAGGAGCAGAATTGCTGAGTTCAGAGTCTGCTGTATTTAAAAACATTGCTATTGCAACTTGCATCCAGTAGATCCTCAATAGATGTTTCTTTTGCTAATTTCTTTCTCGCGGTGCATTTCGGGAGTTGTTGTCTTTGTGAGGCATGCCCGGAGTCACTGTCTGAGCCAGCCTCAGGAAGCGGGCGTGGACAAATCTACTAAACGGCGGGCTTTAGGACCCCGCGGGGTACGGTGGGCTGGAGTACGGTCGGGGAGGTCGGGAGCGCGGCCGTGAGCCGGGAACAGCGCCGGTCGGTGGCGTCGGGAGCGAGCAGCCCCGGGAGCGGCGCGGGTGGTGGAGGAGGAGCCCGGGGCTCGGTAAGCGGCGCCGGCCGGGGCCGGTCCCCGAACCTGGCCAACCTCTGTGGGTCCTGCGGTACTAGGCCTTGGCCCCGAGGCGACTCTGGGGGCGGGGCCTGCGCTCGCCTGGGAGGGGACGGGGGTGATGGAGAGTGGGGGAAAGAGGGAGGGAGGACAGCTGCTGAGGCGAGCTGAGGCTGCGTGCGGCGGAGAGGCTGGGCCCGAGGCGGCGGAGCGGATCGAGAAGCCGCTTGCTCCTCCAGAGGATAGTCCCTCGGACTATCCTGTGCGGGTCGCGTCCCTCCGGCTCCTGGTCTCTGTTAGGCCCTTCTGGCAGCCAAGGGGCTGACCTTTGACCTCACCACGAGGCTGACCCTACCCTTCAAGCTACCTCTCCTCCCAGATTGTTCTCGCCCCTGGGTACCCTTCAGCCCAGGCTGGGTCTGGGGTGAAGGCATGGGGCAGCACCTCTGTGAAGGGCTGGAGGAAGGCCATTCTGCCTCACAGTGTTCAGGTGTCCCGGAAAGGTCCCCATCCGGTTCCTCTCGGCCCCCATCCTGTCCCTCTTTTTAAAATCTTACCGATGGGCTTCAGTCCACTCTTCACACAGAATCAGTGAAGCTACCATGTTTTTTCTGGGTTACTTGGGAGTAACGAACCTGTTCCTAGGCAAGTGTGGGGAAGAAACAGAGGAGAAGAAATCTGGTTCCCTGGGGGAGGGAGAGCTATCCGAAGCTGAGGAGTGCTGCCTCCGCGGAATGGGGAAATAAAAACTTGGGCCAGGCCCGAATAAATGTTTCTGGATCATCAGACCCTCCCCAAGTCTTCCTCGTCAGAAAAAGTTTTGAGCTTAGAGCTCTTTCTTTGCTATCCTGAGCTCTCAGGGACTTTGTAAACCAGGGCAAATATGGTTTGTGTCCGTGCCCTTAACTTAGCCCAAGTTAATTGGAATTATTTGGGTGTGCCTTCAGTTGGATTTGTGTGCACAGTACTTCCTATATGAAGGCTGACTCTAAAGAAAGGTGGATCCTTGTTGTTAGGATTGTCAAGGGAGAATTACGATTCTTTCAGTGAATAGGGAAAACTTTAAGGTCAAAAGTCAGAAATTGTTATAAAAGTTGAAATTTCCCATAGAGCCAAGTTCAAGAATTCATAAAATTTGGAGAAAATAGTCAAATAGCAAATTGATCCAGGATATACGAAGGTGAATTCTATTCAACACACATTTATTGAGCACTTTCTATGTAACTGGCACTGGAGTTAGAAATATGGGTATGTTTTCCTCAAGGACATCAGAGAGAGACATTCATATGAAAATTGTAGTGCTGTGTTACGTATCCTTACAAATGAATCTATGCAGTGTGAAGGAACTACTGCCCTTGCCTGGGAGAGCCAGGGAAATCTTCACAAAGAAGAGATACTTGAGTTGGGTGATGAAAGAAGAGTCGGAGCTTGCGTAAGTAAGGAAAGGTATTCCAGTTTGAGAGAACAGCATGCACACAGGCACAATGAAAGTATGAGGGGGAAAAAAATAACATGATGTTTAAGTGTCAGAAATTTGCCCCAAACAGGATGTATGGTGGGGAAGTTGCCAGGAGTTGAGGCTGAAAAGAGAGCAGGGAGCCATTGGAGCTTTTTATGTTAGGGAATGACAGAAGTGCCGATTAAAGTAATGAGAAATGAGGTAGTGAGACTAATTAGAGTTGTTGCAGTTGATTGAGAGTCTGAATAAAGTGTGGCAGTGGGAATGAAGAGGAGGGAAATGGATTTTAGAAATAATTCTAAGATAGGTGCAACAGAACTTAATGATTGGGGAGAGAGAGTGGGCTAAGATTTCTAATTTGAGAGATTGGGTGAATGCAAATTTCATTGGCCAGGATATGGACTAGAAAAAATAGAGCAGATTTTTTAAGGGTTGGGGTGGCTTTGGAAAGAGGTATAGGGGAGATAGTCTGGTGCGCTGGGAAAAAAATTGCTTGTGGGATGTGCACATGGAGATGTTAGATAGGCAGCTGGAAGTAAGGGGGTCTGGTGAGCTTAATATCTTGGCACTGAGTGAGGGCATATATCCAAGAAATCCTGGGAAAAAAAATGTTTATTTATTTTTGTTTATAAGTAAGTATCAGAATATGTATTTCTTCCGTTTAATAGTGAGCGTCTCAAGGCAGGGACCATAATGTAATTTTAGGTCCCTTTTTTGTCTTATACTATGCCTGTGTTATTGTAAGGTATTGATAAATGTTAGTTTTTAAGCTGGCAGGAAATCAATTTCCTTTGCAAATTTGCAATTACCATTTGGGTTTTCTTTAAGATCATGGGAGTCTGTCTCATAATTTTCATTTTATACTTAGGTGGTATTCATGAGGCTTGTATGGTTCAACAGGAAAGGAAATGCAGAAGATATGAGTGACATTGTGCTGCTTGAGGAAGTTCAGGGCTTGAGCAGGAGATAGACAGTATTAATTTACAAGAGGCTCCTGCTCATTGAGAAGAGGATTTTACAATGAATTCTCATTCTGGGAGATGTCAGAAAAATGTGATTTTCAATCAGAGTTTCTGAAATCCTGTCTATTTGGAGTTGATTCCTCCTTCTGAAGGTGTAAGTGCATTCCTTCTTGTGTAAAAATAATTTGAAGGGGAACCTGAGGTAGTCATGTTTATTTAAACCTCTTCATCTGTATTATTAGTTTGTGAAAGTAGGCCGACTCAGTCAATTCTGATGGGACTGGATTGAATTTTTTTCTGTGAAGCTAGTTTACCTTTAGTAGATACAGACAGTGGCTGATACCCAGAGTAGAGACTGGGAAATTCCTGGTTTTTTTTTCACTTGCTGCTTAGTCTTGGGAAAGTCCCTGAATTACTTCCATTTTCAGGTACAGGCTAGACACCCACTCTGAGGTGAGCACTGTCCAGAGCACACAAAAAATATGGATGCTGTCCCATAGTGGCTCATGTATTTACTGAATCAGGCTGGTTCTGTTCCAGTATCTAGAAAGTAGGGATGATGCTTATTAGACAATATCCTGAGTTGACTGAATTTTCTTGGATAAAGTAAGAATGTTGATATTATTGGTATCAGTTTGGAGTTTCCATAGAACTTCAACTGAATTTGATTTTGCATGTTCTACTAGTCAACACTTGAGTTTTTGCACTAACAGGATATTCTGATGGGGAGAAGGGTTACCAGAAAGGTTTAGTGGCGTTATCGCTTATTAGTTGTGTTACTTTGGGCAAAGTAAAATCCTCGTTGTAAAATTATGGTAGTAGTACCTACTTCATTTGGTTATTTTAAAGATTAGATATAAATGTTTAAAGCACTTAGAACAGTGCCAAATATATAGTGAGCACTCAGTCATGTTATTTATTATATATATCATCTTGAGTGGTAGCTTGTGCTTTGAAAGATTTAGAGGGATGAGTGATGAATTGCATCTCCAGGAATTACAAAAAGAAAAGTGAAAAAAAAGAAAGAAAAGAAAAGTGGTAGAATAAAGGAATAGTGGCTTCTTCTGGAGCGCTCCATGAAGGGAGAAAATTCAGAGAAGTGGCTTCAAGAATGCAGGCCTCACTCCATTTTAGAGATAAAAAAGACTGGGAGGGACTAGTGCTAAAAATTCTTTAAAATGGAGAGGGTATATATGCTTGTTTTAGAGCCAGTCAGTGGGGTGGAATTGGGGGAAATTGTGTCCCATGCTATGAAAGAAACTGTGGCAAGGAACCATGTGGAACAGTAGCAACACAATACAGTGCCCACGCTTACATCTGGGAAGTGAATTAAACACAGATTCAGATGACAGTAAATTTAGAAGACCAATCTGGACCATGTGGACCATGTGGAATCCAGCAAGTGAGCCAAATCCTTGGGGCCTTCAGATAGGAAGAGACCTGTTAGGAACTAGTTTGAGAAATTAAGGGTTGGGATTGGTATACCTGCATGCTCTTAAATGCTTATACTGCTAGTATTACCTTTAGAGTGTGTGGTGTGCCTTCCAGAAAACTTATGGAGCAGATAACTTCTGTCTAAAGATTAAAAAAAACCCCAAACACTTGCATCCAGAGGAAATTGGGAACCTTTAGGAGAGTCAGTGCAGAAGGCTATTTCAGGCTTTATTAATATTGCCTCCTTTAGTGTATTGAGTGAATGGCTCATGGTTAGACAATGGTGATATTTGACTGAGCCATAACTCCTGGGCAGATAGAATTTTCATTTCCTTCACTAAGAATGTGGATTGCTATAGTCAGTGCGTCTTGTAGTGATCTTTCACAGATGGGCAAACTGGGGCCAAGATCCTAAAGAAAGGGGATGTGGTTGGTGAATTACTATAGGGAGAATGAGTTGGGGGGTAGGTGAGGGTTGCTCCAGTGCCTTTTTCTAGAGATGGCAGAAGTTTTATTAATTCTCTCAGAATCATCTCTGTTCACATGCTCCTTTCCTTTTGAAGCCTGGTTTAAGATTTTGATGTGTACTTCACAAATTTTAGTGAGCATCAGAATTATGTGGGGCAAGGTTTTTTAGTCTCAGCTCTATTGACGTATTGGGCCAGATAATTCTTTGTTGTGGGGATTGTCCTATGCATTGTAGGATGTTTAGCAACATCCCTGGCCTTTACCCAGTAGATGCTAGTAGTATCTCCCCTCCCTGTTGTGACAACTACAATCTTTCCAGGCTTTGATGTCCCCTAGGAGGCAAATTGCCCCAGTTGAGAACCACTAGCCTAAATGATTGTTTAAAATGAAGACCCTTAGTTCTTATTTTGAAAGTCTGTTTCAGTAGTGGGGAAGGGAGCTTAGGAATCTACATTTTCAGGAAGCACCCCAGGAGATTCTGAAACAGGTAATCACAGCTCTGCTGTGATAAAGCATATTCTCTCCTAAGCTGAGGGCTGTATAGACTTATATTTAACTTGCTCTCCATTTCATCTTTCTTGTTTTACTGTATCTTTCCATTCATTATTAAGTTTTGGTGCAGAATTATCCTAAGAGCAGTAAGTTCAAGTATAGTAGTATCAATAAAATCTTGTAGTAGAGATTTGTGTATTTCAGATACACACGTTTTGGGCACCTCAGAAGGTTTCCTTGTGTTCCTTCTCACTAATCTATCTCCACCAAGGGTAACCACTATTCTGACCTCTGTTGCCCCTAGATTAATTTTGCCTTTTTTGAACTTCATATAAATGGAATCATTAGTTTGTATTCTTTTTCTTTTTTTTCTTTCGGATGTTTTCCCTTCAACATCTGTGAAATTTATCAACATCGTTTCAATAATTTGTCCTTTTAAATTTCCGTGTGGTATTATGTGAATATAATTTTCCTATTCTATTGCTGATGGGCATTTGAAGTCTATATATTTAAAAGACTCACACAAACACAAAACACCCACTTCAATAAACTTTACAAAAACATTTAAAAAAGGAGATATTTATACTCTAGCCTAGGCATTCTGGAATTTCTGTTTTCAAACATGCCAAGTCTTTTTAAATCTTGGAGCCTTTGCACTTGCCATTCCCTCTGTCTGGAACACTTTCCCCAAGATTTTCACATGGTTGTTTCTTTCCTGTTCTGATCTTGGCCCACGTATCATTTCTCAAAGAAGCCTACTTTAATCTTCTAATTAATATAGAACCCCTGGACAATTTGTCTTCAAGATACTTATCACTTTCAATTTAACTTGTTTGTTGTCTTTTTCCCTTCTAGTAGAATGAAAACTCTATGAGAGCAAGGATCTTATTTGTCTCATTTACTGCTATATCCTTAGTGTTTTGCACCTAAAAGTTGTTCAGTAATATTTATTGAACAAATGCCTGATCTGTGCATATTTTTTTCTTTCTAAATGATAGGCACATTTATTTTTATTCATTTTCTTTCTTTCCTCTTTTTTTCTTTCTCCTCTCCTCCTTTTTCTTTTTGTACATACTGATTGAAATGTTTTAGGATGTTTACCTGAGCATTTACCTACAGTAGCATTTAGGAGCCTCCCTCAACAGTGAAGAGGGAGTGATACTTGATAACAGTCCATTATAAGTTTGAATATAGAACTCCAGGCCTTTAAATTTGGAAGTCTATGGTAGAGACGCCGTTGCATGTGTTTTTTGCCCCCATCTTTATTGGATATAATTGATATATAACATTGTATAACTTTAAAGGATACAATGTGTGATGATCCATTGTGAAGTGATTGTCAGGATAACTTAGTTAACACATCCATCACTTTATGTAGTTATTATTAAAAAACTTTTTGGTAGTGAGAACATTAAGATCTTGGCAATTTTCAAGTATACAGTACAGTATTGTTAACTACAGTCACCATGCTGTATATTAGATCTCCAGAACTTATTCATCTTAGAACTGGAAGTTTGTAACCTTTGAACAATATCTTTCCATTTCCCCCACTCTCAGACCCTGGCGACCACTAGACTATTCTCTGTTTCCACAATTTTGGCTATTTTAGATTCCACATATAAGTGAGATCGTACAGTATTTGTCTTTGTCTGATTTATTTTAGTTAGCATAATGCCCTCAGGATTTATCCATGTTGTTGCAAATGTCAAGACTTTCTCCTTTTTTTTTTATGGCTGAATAATATTCCATTGTATATACACCACATTTTCTTTATCCATTCATTCCTTGATGGACACTTAGGTTGTTTTTCTATGTCTTGGCCGCTCATTAATAATGCTGCAGTGAACATGGGAGTACAGATATCTTTTCTAAATAGGGATTTTATTTCCTTCAGATATATACCCAGAAATAGGATTGCTGGATCATATGGTAGTTCTACTTTTAATATTTTGAGGAAGCTTCATACTGTTTTCTGTAGTGTTTATACCAATTTACATTCCCACCAATTGTATACAAGGGTTTGCCTTTCTGTACTTCCTTGCCATGGCTTTTTTTTTTTTTTTTTTTTTTTTTTTTTTTTTTTTTTTTTAACTTTTTTGAAGCCCAGGGAGGGAAAAGAAACTTAAGGTTATAGGATAAGTATAGGTTGGGACTAAAATCCAAAACTTTTAATAGATAACTGTGAGTATTCTCTGGAAATGAGGGTGAATTTCTATTAAATTTATTTTCTGATACTAGAATTGACATGTACTCATGAAGACAATAAAATAAATAAATAACTGTCTTAGTGTAACTAGATTTCCTTGTACATTAAACATTGGAAGAGTTTGGCTTTAGGTTTTAAAATCTTGGTATTTGGCAATTTCATCCTGTAGGTATGTGATGTGCATTTAAGAAGTATGTGGCTGGATTGCTTTCAGATATAGTTCTTAAAAAGTTGTATGACTTGGGTCTTTCAGGGGGATATTGTGCTGTATAGGTCATGGGACCAACAAGTCCCTAAGGTTTAGGAATAAAAGACTTCATTGATTTACCATTGAATTGGGGGGATTTGAAGCCATTCTTAAATTTGGTGGTAGATGAAATTAGTATTGAAAAGTTGCCTGATTTTCTCTTATATTTTGCCTAGTATGTCTTATTTCTGAGAACTGTATTAAAGCCTAAAGTGACATTTCTGTGAGATTACTGTGGCTTTGCTATATTTGCTTCTTCACAGGAAGGATTTAAAAGCCTGGATCAACAGAGCTTGTAGTATAGTCATAGAATGTTTTTTTCCCTTCCTGGTGGTTCCATAGCATTTTCATTGTACTTTTACTCTATTTATTTCACATGATTTGCCTTGTGCTATGGGTTGTTATGTGTCTGTCTCTGCCAATAGTTTGTGATCTCCCAGAGAATCAGGTTTGGAATTTGCTCTTTGCAACCCTGTAGTGCCTATACTAGAGCTTTATATTATTTCAGTGTTCCTTATATATTTATGGTATTTCAGTGATGCTGAGAGAATTATTAGATGATATGTCTAATTCAATCCCTTTGTTTTACTTGTAAGGAAACTGAGAAGTACAGTGAATTACTCAGTGTTATCTAGTTTGTTTGGAGACCTGTGGTCTATTCTCAGTTCTGCTGGTTGTTCCTTTATGCCTTGCTGCTCCCTCAGCTGGTACTGATTCTCTATACAACAAGGAAGTTTTGTGAAAGAGGAAAAAAGCACTGAGAGGATGTAAACAGACTACATTCACATTACTGATGTGCTGCAATTTACTGCTCTACCAGTCAGATATTTTACTTTCAAATTTAGGAGCACAGGTTTAATTTCTCAAACCCCCAAAAAACTGTCTATGGCATGCCACCTTGAACGTTCCCGATCTTGTCTGATCTTGGAAGCTAAGCAGGATTTGGCCTGGTTAGTACTTGGATGGGAGACCACCTAGGAATACCAGGTGCTGTAGGTGTAAAAAAAAAAAAAAAACTTTTAAAACTTGTAAGCATACTACATTTTTCCCAATCCACCACCCTAGACACACCTTTCTTTGCTGTCTTCCATGGACAGAAGTACTGGAGGAGGAGGCGACTTTATGTTGTCAGTTTCTAGTCACATTTCTGACAGCTTGGGTGGTAAATTCTAGTTGCTTGTGATGATGACAGAGAGTAATGTGTAGAGGCCCTTGGTTGAATTCCCCCCCTGCGCCAAATGGAAGGAGAATGATGAAAAGAATTTAATTTCTTAGGAAATTTAGTACTTTGGACTGGTATTGTTTTTCCTCCCTCTCCAATTCCCTTTTGCTTATTAGAAAGTATTGATTTTGAAATAGATAAAGTGAGTTTATTAGATTTGGGGTGGACATTGATTAGCTGTAACCTAATTATAAATTCTCAGAGGGGGATGTTTGTAAACATATGCTTTTCACATGCAGGAACTTGTAGTTCCTGCTAATCAACTGGTTGAAGCTGAGTATGTGCAAGATCTATACCTACTAAGCTTAGAATTGCGTTGCTTTTGATTTATTTTAATAGGATCCTCTTGATTTCCAATTTGTTTTCCCTCCGATAAGGACATCTTCCTCTTGACAACCTATTTAAAAAACACAGGAATGTTTTGAATGGAGGCTGTATTTCATGCGTTAAGGGAAAGCCATGATCAATATAGTATAAATTGCCCACAAGAACATTCTCTTTGTTGTTATTTTCCCCTTCATTTTTCTCGGACCATAATGGAATTTGAGGGCTTAGTGAGGCCTCAATAAATATAGGTTTTAACAAATTTTAGGTCAGACCTAGGACTTTTCAGTCCCCCCCCTCTAATTTTAGAATCAGTCAGTGATGAATATACACTGAGCATTTACCATGAGCTAAGGGCTTACAGAAAAAGTATAAGATGTAGTCTCTTTGTTAAAGATACTTAATATCTAGTTGGGGAAATTTTCTGTGCTTTTCGCTTTTTATGCTCAAAGCCAAATCTCCATTTTGGCTATATGTATTAGAGAAAGATAATGTCTAAGATATAATCTTTTATGCTATTGGATACATCTCTTCCTTAAACAAAAATTTTATTTATATTTGAAAATTAGTGTATATTTTCCAAAAGTCATTGAACAAAATTAATTTTGTTCTGCTTTGGATATGTCTGGAAGTAAAAACTAGGCTCCTCGCTCCCCCCTCCCCCCCACACACTTACCATTGGGTGAGATTAAGATTCACAGCTAGAGCCTAGAATTTAAGAGAGAGACAGGAATTTTATCAATATAGGAAGAATCTGGGAAGTGAGGGAATATGTGTAAATTTAGTAGTGCAGACCTGTGGAATTTCAAGCTCTCACTTGAAAAAAATTGAGAATTCCTTGAAGCAAGATTGGAAAATTTGGGCATGATTCATGGAACTGCTTTTATATAGAATTAAAAAATACTTTGAGATTTTATCTACGGTAGTGTTACAAATACATATAATTAAATTCGAAAGGAGTGTGTCGTTATGTTCGGTTATTTTGAAATCAAGTTTAATTTTTGGCCTTTAACTGCTATTTTCTGCCTTGGGTCTCTTTCCAGAGGAATTTCTCAAGACAGTCAAGTGCAGTGTGATTTATGAGGCAGTGAAGGCCAAGTACTTTGCAGAGATGAGAACCTACTTACTTTGGGGAAATCAATGGAGCACATCAGTCTGCAGCACACTTCCTGTCTTAATGGTCCTAAGCTTGATCAATACTTGAAATTTAACTTCACCATCAGTCTGTGGGCAGTGTGTGCTTTGCAGCCTTCTTTCTATCAACCTCAAATATATGGCCAGACCTATTACAGATGGAGCTAGTTACACTTTCCTGCTTGGTTTTGGATCCGCTTTAAGCCTCGTCCACTGGCATGTTTTAAGGATGTAAAATATGTTGTGCTGTAGGCCAAGTAAAGATTTAAACCTTGAAATTACCTGGTCTAGGGAGGGGATGTTGGACAGATACACATGATCTATAGCATGGTTGTTTATCATTTCTTCTTCCTAAAACATTTCCCATTGGAGGTAATTCTGCTTAGCCTTCAGAATCTTGGAGAGTATTTCTAGCACTGACTCTGGCTTTCTTTTCACAGATTCTCTAACCATGGCACAAGTAGAGAAACGGGGGGGTTTGCTCCGGAAATCTTCAGCCTCCAAGAAACCACTGAAGGAAAAAGTGGTGCTGATGTATGATGAGATCTTCATGGTAAGGCCTGGAGCTCTGATACTCTGCACAGCTTGACTCCTTAATTTCTTGTTTCAAAATGAGAAATAACCTCACCTTTGCCTGTTACCTTCCAATTCTTCATAGGGTGAAAGAGGGAGAGCAAGGGTGAGGGTGAGCTTTGTCATGGTAGAAGTTATGATTGTGTCTTAATATAGATTGTTGCTATGAGCTAGGTAAAACAGTTGAAAGGAGGAAGGCTGGCTGTGGAAGCTTCTTTTCTGAATATTTTTGAGAAAGATTTGTTTTTCTTATCCGATGTAAGGACATTTCTAGATGTCCCTTGACGTTCCATTTGGTCCAAGAATTCTATGATCAGATATTTTAAGAAGATGCACTATTATAATCCATCTCAAGTTGTTCGTGGACAAAACAGTTGCTTTGTTAGACTATCTCATTCTCTGTATTAGTTAACTGGGAATGGATTGGGGATTTTTTTGGGCTTTCATAACTGCTGAATGACCATGGTCTAAACCTGTGTTGTAAAATATCCCCTGTCAGGGAAAGTTAGAGTAATTAGATTCCCTACAGTAGTACTTGCCTTCTGAAGTCCTGGTCATAAGTAGTACATGTAAAATAGAATAATACCTATAAAAAGAGTTACAGTGTATTGAGTTCCTACTGTGTCCCTGTCATTATTTTAAATGTATCACTAAATACATTAGCTTTAATTCTGACAAGAATGGTGCAAGAGGGCCATGTTTTTACATGTGCCATGTAAAAGAGCATGTTATAGATGAGAGAACTGGGGATCACAGTTAGAAGGCGAGTTGAACCCTAGTGTCTGACTCTAGAGCCCTTATTTGTTCGGCTTTGCCACATGGCCCAGGATGAATAATTCAATCAAGTAAAACATTTAACTCTTGGTATAGCCTTACAGATAGAGTTTGGCATGCAGAAAATTAATGCAGAATTTCCCAGGTTAGTACAGGTGGTTATACAGAGAAAATGAGTGGGTACTAGGATCCTGTTAGGGCTCTTTATATGTTAAGGAAGCTTGGTATGCATATGATTCCTGCTTTGAGGATGGGAAGAGCCAGCTCCAGGAAATCCCTGAGTTCCATATATAGACAATAAAATGACATTACAGAATTGTGAGAGTCAAGGTGTGACCTCTCCTGGAGAGTAGTAAGACTTGAGAGAAGAGACTAAATGAGGACCTTATAAGAAGGCCAGAAATGTTGCTTCTTTATGTCATCTTCAATTAAAAATCCAGAAGAGATTCCTAGTATAATATTTTTTAGAGCAGGAGTTCTTAACTAATGAATACATTAGTTCTTGGTAGTAATTTTAAAAAGTCGACTTAAGGTAAGGTGATAACAGGCAGTCGACCTACTGATTTTATGTCATTAGCTTTCCCATAAAGTGGAGGTAGGGATTCTTTTATTTCATTCATTAACCAGAAGCCTCTGACTTTCTAGAATTTCTGTTTGAAAATTGCTCCTAAGAAATTTTGAATTTTAGCACTATAATTTTGCCAACCTTTTGGACCATTTGAATTAAAGAAAGAGCATATTAAAAGCTCTGTACAGAGGACTTAATGCATATGGGAAAGCAAGTAGAAGCAGTCAACACAGGATATTGCAAAAACCATGGCAGTATTTTTTGGTGATCTGGATTCTGGCTCTTGTACTTGTGTAAGTCACTTAACTTTGTGTACCCTTTTTCCTAAAAGGAGGATAATGATAATATCTACCATACTTGGCTCACTGGTCATTATATTTCATGTATGTGAATGGGCTTTGAAAACTGAGCACCATACAACTGCAGTGGAAACATATCATAATTTGACTAATTTAATTCAAATGGTTGGGTTTACTTCTTGCTAGAAGAAAAAGATTTGCAGGAGATTCTTTGAGCCATTTTTTAACTTTCGATGCAGGAAATCTATATACAGTATCTTTCATTTGGGGGAAAAAACCCAAAACTGTTCTTCCCCATTACAGTAGTTTAGAATGACCAAGCTAAAAGTTAATTTTGAAGGGTAAGGTTGATTATGTATAGTGATCCTTTCCACTGTATTCTTAATGATTTGGTGTTAGCTGGGGATATTGAACCTGCTTATCTTCTGATTTCAGACAGAAGACCCTAGTAAGTGCAGTCCTCGATTTTGGGAGGAGCTCTTCCTCATGAAGGTAAGACTTGATGGCATCTGGATTTTCCTGGTAACCGAGATTGCCTTCTCATGTGTTCTGGGTGCTACACTAAAATTGTACTCAGGCTCTTATTGTTTCCATGGTAGGTGAACTTAGAGTACCTGGAAGGCAAGCTGGAATCTCTTGATGGTGAGGAATTAATGAAGATCAAGGACAACATTAATTGCTTATTTCAGCACTGCATCAAGGCTCTGGGAGAGGAGCATCCAATTCGAGTTGTCAATGCATTGCAGGTACAAAGCTAGGAGACTGGGAAAGTGTGGTTTGATAGAAGAAAGGAATTGTAACACATCCGTTGGGACCTGAGGAACCTAGGATTGCCCTTAGTTATGAAGTTTTCTTTTTTCTTTACTTTTTTAAGTAATCAAACGTCTATGTCATGTTGGTTTATCCATCTTCCTGCTTAAACAAATCGATGCTTATGGTAGTAATCTTGTCCATTTGTACAATTTGATCTAATGCCAGAATTTGACAGAATTTTTATTATTATTCAAGGAAAGGAAGAGATAGGAAACTGAGGCAGAGTTGCTAAGTCTACAGCAAAAATCAGGAGATTCTTAATACAGTATTTTCTCACTATATCAAGAATTTTTTAATTTTTAATTTTCGTTTTTATTAGTTTCAGATATACACTGGTTAGACATTTATATAGTTTATGAAGTGATCCCCGCGATTACTCTAGCACCCATCTGGCTCTACACACAGCTATTACAATACTGTTGACTCTGCTCCCTATGCTGTGCTCCACATCCCTGTGACTATTTTGTAACTACAAATTTGTACTTCATCTCTTCACCTTTTTCTAAAAATATGGAACACTTCACGAATTTGCATGTCATCCTTGCACAGAGGCCATGCTAATCTTCTCTGTATCCTTCCAATTTTAGTATATGTGCTGCTGCTGAAGTGCGCACTAGATCAGGAGTTCTTAATCTGAGGTTTCAGAGGGTCCTTGATTCCCTGAAATTACAAGTAATATTTTACGTGTATATGTATAATCTTTCTAGAGAGAGGGGTTTCATCAGATTCTCAAAAGAATCTGGAACTCTGAAAACATTAAGAATCATTGTTCTTAAAGCTAAGTGGCATGATCATGAGGAAGATTCATTGAACAGTGATTTCTTGGATGATCGTTATGTGCCAACCATTAGGCTCGTGGGGATATATTATAGGCTTCCCGAGGACAAAGACTTTGATAGTTTCATTCAGTTCTTTATTCCTACTGTATAGAACAGTGCCTGGCAAATATTCAGCATTCTAGAAGTAAATTTTTATTGAATAAATGATAGGCAGAGTTTCTAAAGTTTATAGTCTGGTAGCTCTAAGTGTAGCCTTGGGCTGAGTGCCTAGGGCAGTGATTGACAGATATAATACACAGCCCCATGACAACATAAAGGATTTTATTGGAAGTTTTGGTTGACTGGGTTTAAGTTTTTAACTTACTAGTTGGCCAGATCACTTTGTAAGCCCTAATTTTCTCACTTGTAGAATGTAGAAATAACCTCTTAGGCTGATGCCTCAGAAAGAAGGGCGGCGTTTATCTTGTAGCTTTGTTAACCTCTGGCACAGTAAATTCCACATTTTGAGCATCACAGTTGTAGAGGCTCATTGAGAGTTGACATGAAAATTGGAAATTGTACTTCCAGTAGTTGCAGTGGCTCACGGTGGGGGCATAAATTGTAAATTGTTTTTAGTTCAGTGGAAATAAATTGACATTAAGCCATTTGGCGATCCATAAAAATATAGTACATTATTGTAATAGCTTATACTTATTGAACTTTAACAAAGTTCCAGGTACTATTTTTTGAGCTTTAACAAAGTTCCAAGGACTATTCTGAGTTCTTTACAGTATTAATTCATATAGTCATCACAGCATCCCTGTGAGATGTGTACTATTATTATCATTCCCACTTCGTAGATGAGAAAACTGAGGCACTGAAAAGTTAACTGATTTGTCCAGCCTCACACAGCTGGTAAGTAGGAATGTAATGAATATAAGATGTAAAGCAATTGGTTGTTGTTATATAGGGACCCAAATACTCGTAGTTATGAAAAAAATAATTACTAAAAATGATAAACCATAATGTAAATACTAAAATTAATTTTAAATAAAGGGAAGTTTCTCCAATTCCATGATGCAAACTCAAGAACTATTTTTTATTTTTGAATACCACCTTCCAATCTTTGTCTGCAGTGCAGTTTTTAAAAAGAGGATGGCCAAAAAGCAACAAAAAAAAGAATGACGACAGTTTTAGTTGCTGTTCCTCTTTTGATTTCTGGATTCTGGAGCTCAAGTGTTTGAGTAGTTGAATGTCAGCTGTGCAAGGAGGTGGTTCCGAGGTAGCAATGTGAGGCTACAGATCCAGTGCTTTGTGTTTTGAGACTTCCTCTCTAGAAAGAATTCTTTCTCTCATCTTTGCAGACCTTGTGTGCACTTATTCGAGGAGTTCACCAAAAGAATAAGTCTACCTCTGGGTTTGACATTATCAACATGCTGATGGGCTTTGACAAGGCGGAGCTGTGCATGAAGGTGAGACATAAGCTGCAGATGTGCTTGTGGATAGCTGCTTTTGACAGCTGTTCCTGGGTACCATCTGCAGACAGATGTACTAGAAGATCTAGACTCACATAGATAAAGATGATTACATTTAGCCTTGAATTTGGGTATTTTTATTTCACAGGTTTGGTTTATCTGAATAAAGGAAGATTTGAAATTCAGATTTGAATTGAGGCATCTATTCCTTGCAGAATAAAGACTGAGCAGTTTATTTTATGATGTATATCATATGATCATACATTCTCAAAAACATTTATGAGCTTAAATATAACAAATTAATATACAAGGGTAACTTTAGTTCTAAACATTAAGCTTTCTTATTTTACACAATGGCTATTAGAATTTTTATTTTTACTGTTTGACACTTAAAAAATAACAGCTTTATTGATATGTAATTTGCATATCATGCAGTTCACCCTTTTAAAGTTCTGCATTCAGTGGTTTTTAACATATTCATGGAGTTGTCCAACCATCGCCACTTTTAATTACAAAACATTTTTACCACCCAAAAAAGAAAACATGTACCCATTAGCAGTCATTCTCCATTCCCACTTCTCTCTAGCCCCAGAACCATTGATCTGCTTTATGTCTCTATGGCTTTACCTATTCTGGACATCTCATATAAATGGAATCACACGTGGTGTTCTGTTTCTAACTTCTTTCACTTAGCATGTTTTCAAGGTCCATCCATGTTGCAGCATGTATCAGTACTTAGTCTCTTATGGTTGGTTAGTATTCCATTCAGTGAATGTACCACATCATTTTATTTATCCATTCATCAGTTGATGTACATTTTGAATATTTCAACATTTTGGCTATTATGAATAATGCTTTGAAATTCTTGTACAAGTTTCTGGGGGATATATGTTTTCAATTCTCTTGGGTATATACCTAGAAGTAGAATTGCTGGGTCATATGGTAACTATGTTTCTAACATTTTGAGGAACTGCCAAACTGTTTTCCAAAGTTGCCATACTGTTTTACAGTTTCACCAGCAATGTATGAGGGTTCTAATTTCTCCTCATCCTTGTCAACAATAGCTTTTGTCTTTCGTGTATATTTTTTTGGAGAAATGTCTATTCGAATTCTTTGTCCATTTCCAGATTCAGTTGTTTGTCTTTCTATTGTTGAGTTGTAAGCGTTCTTTATATATTTTGAATGTAAGTCCCTTATCAGATATCTGATTTGGAGTATTTGACACTATCTTAAATGAATGTTGTTCATTTGAAGAACTAGTCTTCTGTCACTCACTAAATTTAGAATAAAGAAATTTGTGTGCCAAAGAATCCTTATAGTCATTAGCTTATTTTAAAAAGTTATGAATATACAATTATGAATATACAAAGATTTAGTACCTGGAGTCGGTTTTTAATTCTAATCTGTACAGTCCATATATATGTCATGGTAAAAATCCCATATCTTTCATTCTCATTATTCTAACTACTGCCGATATGCTGCTGATTACTAAGTCTCTATCTTTAGCTTTAACATTCTCTCTGAGTCTCAGAGTTGTATATGTACGTACTCTGTAAGCACTTGCTGAATATACCCACTCACACATCCCTAAGTATCTCTTGCTTGATATATCCAAAATGGAAC